CGCGCCGAGCGCAGAGCCGGGCAGCCACCGACGCCGCCTCGGGGGTCGCCGCCGCCTGCAAGTCGCCAAAGTTTGGGCGACCACCCCGCGCGAGCGGGAGCCCATCCCTCAGCTCCTTCACGTCGGCCCCTTGCGGAGCTGCCCGGCAGCCCCGCTCCCACCTGGAGGGGCGCAGTTCCCACGGGTGGCACCGTGCCAGGTCCGGTCACGGCACGGGGCAAGGAAGTCGCGCAGAGGCCGGGGTCCTTGTCACCCACTCGCAGCTGGACGTGGGGGAAGGGCAGCCACCGGCGCGCTCGCAGCAGTACACATGCGCAGTTGAAGGGGCTGCTCGCCGCCCCAGGGTCCTCCGAGAGGTGGTCCATAGAAGTTGGGACTACATTTCCCATAAGTCTACAGTGCCGCGTTGTAGGGACGCTTAGGAAAGTCTTTGATTTGTTTTAGCCGGTCGGGTCAGCTCTGTCGGCTGGATTCTAAGTCGTATTTTTTTAAATCCTAGCTTTTAAAAGTTACACAGATAATCATGATAACTGTAAACCGGAAAAGATAACTAACATTAAGTTCACACGTGTTGGTTTTTTTTTTTTTTTTTACAAAATTGGCCATAGCTTTTGGCTTTTGCAATTAACTTTTGTTTTCTCTATTTTAAATCATTTTACATTCTCAGTAACATTTGAGGAGAAAAGTGTCCCCTTAATATCCACCGCCCTTCATGAATAGCCTCCTCCATTATCCACATTCTCTATCTGAAAGATACATTTGTTATAATCCCACCTAACACTGACACATCACCCAAAATCCATAGTTTGCTGGAATTCACTAAGTACATTCTACGGGTCTTGACACATGTATCCCCCCTTGCAGTATCATGTGGAATAGTTTGACAGCCCTAAAATTCCCCTATTCTCCATCTATTAATTCCTCCCACACCTTCCCTGCTCCCCCGAACTCCTGGAAACCACCAATCATACGGTCTACATAGTTTTTGCCTTTTCCAGAGTGGCACTGGAAATGACAGAATGTCCAGAATATCGTTGGAATCATACAGTATGTAGCCTATACAAACTGACCTCTTAGTAATCTACATTTAAATTTCCTCCATAACTTTTCATGGCTTAATAGCTCATTTCTCTTTAGTGTTGAATAATACTGTACTATCTGATGTACCACAGTTTATTTAGTCATACATCTATTAAAGAACATTTTGGGAGAGAAGGGGATAACCGAGGGGCGTAGGATAACCAAGGGGATAACCGAGGGGCGTAGGCTGCACCTACAGGGTCCTTGGGGATCACCCTCTGTATGTGATTCATGCAGCTCTTCAGCAATATATTTTAGTAGATCTGCGTGTTCTGTTCCTCGCTCTGTCTCGAATGAATCCTCTCACCCCACCTCACACACACACATACACCTCTGGCCTATACCCCAGTTCTTATATGCAAAAATAAAAATAAGTCTTTTTTTTTTAAAAATGGTACCTGGCCCTCCCTGGTGGCGCAGCGGGTTAAAGCACTGCACTAAGAAGCTAAAGCCACTTCTACATGAATTCGATTCCCGCCTGCCCCGAAGGAGACCACATGGCGTGGCAGACCTTTCCTGACCTACCGGCTGCTCCCCTCAGCAGTGTACTTCGTCGATCTGCCTGTTCTGCTCCCCACTCTGTCTCTGGTGAATCCTCTCACCGCCCCTGCACCTCTGGCCTGCACCCCAGTTCTGTATGCATAAATAAATAAATCTTTTTTTAAAAAAAAAGTAAACTGGATTGAAATGATAGCTCCATAATCCTGTAAATGATAAAAAAAAATCAAGGTCTCAGCAGGGTACTTTTGTTATTTATTGTTTGTAAAACAGAATAATTCCACACTTCATCTTTTTTTTTCCCACATTTCATCTTAAAGGAAAAAATAGGTTGGACTTTTTTTAAGAGTTAGTACTCAAAAATATAAAAATATATTTCAAAGTTAAAATAATGGAAACTTTGGGGCCCTCCCTGGTGGCACAGCAGGTTAAAGCACAGAACTAAGAAGCTTAAGCCACTTTCGCATGAGTTCAATTCCCACCTGCCCCGGAGGTGACCACATGGTGCAGACCACTCCTGACCCGCCCACTGTTCCCCCCAGCAGTGTACTTCGTCCATCTGCCTTTTCTGCTCCCCACTCTGTTTCTGATGGATCCTCTCAACCTCCGCATCTCTGGCCTGTACCCCAGTTCTGTATGAATAAATAAATAAATCTTTTTAAAAAATGGAAACTTTGTAGTACTGGTTCCAGAAAATAACAAAGTATAAATTAGTGTCTATTTTCATAGCACTGGTGAAAGGCTGGGGTGTTATTCCTGAACAACTATTTAAATACTCCTAGGAAAAACATAATTAGCTTCTTCAGAATACATGTTAAGATAATTAAATATAACCTGCATTTAAGATTTAAATTTTAAAGTGGAAGTTATGGAGGTAGTTGAAAACAATAAGGGAATGTTTTTTGGGTGAAAAGAGACACTTTGCCACCAAAGGAAGAAATCATAAAAGAAATAATTGACAACCCTAACTATTAAGAACAATTAATTCTTTACAAAAATTGCAATATACCTGAGGGGAGAAATCCTATATGTCAAAAAATTAATGAGGGTGTAGAAAACAATGGACTTCATTAATAAAATAAATACTAATTGAAAATTGCAATTAAAAAGTTAAGAGAGAGTCCTCCCTGGTGGTGCAATGGGTTAGGATGCAGCACTGCAAGCTAGCTGCAGCTGTTTCAGTAGGGGGTCCATCCCCCACCCCAGAGGTGATCCACATAACGTAGCAGACCTCACCTGACCCACCAGCTGCTCCCCTCAGCAGTGTACTCCCTCAATCTGCCTGTTCTGCTCTCTACTCTGTCTCTGGGGAAGCCTCTCACCGCCCCTACACCTCTGGCTCCTCTGGCTTGTACCCCATCTCTGGATGCATGTATAAATAAATCCTTTAAAAAAAAAAAAGGTAGAGAGCCCTCCCTAATGGCCTAGAGGTTAAGTCTCACCACCGGGGCCTGAGTTCGGTCCCACCCAGGGAGCTGACCCACAATGGCTCATCCTACCTCCCCTGTCTCGACAGCTGCTCCCCTCAGAAGTGTATTTCTGTAGCTCTGCCTGTTCTGATCCCCACTCTGTCTCTGGTGAAACCGTAACAGGGTGGTCCCCAGGGAAAAGGGGGGTTTCCAGGTTCCCTGTTCTTTCTACCCAAGGGAGCTGAGCGGGGAGAAGAGAAGCTGAAGAGGAGACTGGAGGGGGGAGGAAGAAGTTTTAAAGTTATCTTGTAGATGTATATTTAGGAAAGTTCCTCACAGTGCAGTTCTCACGGTGTTTGCAAACACACTGGAAACTGTCTAAAAAGCTTTCAACAGGTGTAAATAAAATTGTAGTGTTAGATAGAATTAGGAAACACATTAAAAATGACAATTACACTACTAACTACATGGGGCAGTGTCTCATGGAATAGTGAAGAAATGTAGATCACACAAAAATATGCAGAGTGTGAATCCTACTTTTGTAAAAGTATGCATATTTTGAAAAGATTAAATCCCAAAATAAACAAAGAGGAGGAAGACCACCCACACCCATATACACAAATACCTGCCTCCTTACACAACCCAACAGAGTACTGGTGGGGGGGAGACCCCACTGGTTTCTGAAAACCTCATAAAATTCAAAGTCACACTATAGTCTATTAATTTCCCCCTAGAATAAAGGAAAAGTGGAGAGGATTTCTCTGAAAAGCACCTTGCCTATTTTAACTTAAACCTTGCTTTCAATTCTTCAGACTTTCCACTACAGTTTCACAGAGTTCTCACTTCTCAACCAGCTAATATCTCCTAATGGTTGTTTGATCTCTTTCCAAGAATTTTGTAAGATGTACTTAGGTTCCAAAAAGTACTGGCAACAGAGTAAGTCCATCCTTGCATCAGCATCACTGCAGGACCTTGAGAAACGTTAACTGTAGGAACAGTGGCTAATAAAGTAGATCAAAGCACAGAAGTAGCAGCGTGCTTTGTTCACACAGAATGCTGATGGAAAGGAAACCCTGAGTTTTGTTAACTTGTTCAAGTGGCATCACTATTGGGTGTAAGCCGATCATATATCACTACACATGACCTTATCAATGACCTTCTATACTCAGTATACTAAAACCCATTGCAATTTGAATGCAAGATGTGATCTTGTAATATAATGCCTTAGTGCTTTGTGGGAGATGTAATCTTGCAATATAATGCCTTGGTGATTGGTGATTAGTGAAGCAGTAAAACTACTGCTTCAACAACAAATGTAGGCGAGGATGTGGAGAAAAAGGAACTTTCCTGCACTACTGGTGGGAATGCAAACTAGTACAGCCACTATGGAAAACTGTTTGGAGGTTCCTCAAACTGCTAAACATGGAGCTTCCCTACAACCCAGCAATCCCACTCCTAGGTATCTACCCAAAAGACACAAAAACACTGATTCAAAAAGATACCTGCACCC